AAGCGGTAATCCGAACCATGCGTTACCATGTTGCAACCAAATAAGGCATTATCGTCGTCTCAGAAAACGGATGTCGAATGTTACAAAACACGGTTTTGAGAAAATTGACTTTGAAGTTTAAGGTCGAATTAAACCGAAACTATACGGTAGATTTTTGTAACTTTTGAAGGAGACGTAGTTGGTGTTATTAGTTTTGATTTCCCATATTTTTACATTTAATATCTCTTAACGTTAATGAGAAAATTTACTTTTCATTCCGTATACATTTGTCGTAAGTAGCGTTTACTCACCACTTTGCTTTGTCCACAGAACATACGACAATAGTAAAGTATCTATTTCAACGACGATGGTATAATTTGATGAAAAAAACAGACATATTTATTAAATAATGATTACTTATTAGAAAAAACATAACAAAAACATAATCATGTATTTAATAAAAAAAATCTGTACATCTCTTATGCTGTAAATATGTTACGAACATACGTTTTCTTTATATAAAAACAAAAAACAATACTTAAATTCAGTCTTTTGTACATTTTTATCTCTTTCATTTCATTGGAGACTCAGTGCAAGCTAAAATTTAAAAATTTAAAATTTTAAAATTAGTTAGTTTAATTTTCAATTTTAATTGTATCGTTATAGTAGAGGACCATCCAATTGTCGTAAGTTCAAAGTTTTGCGATACATACGACAAATGTTTTATGATTAAAAAAGGATTACATTTGTATGGGAATTTGTCGTATGTGCCACATACGACAAACGTTTTATGATTAAAAAAAAGGTACGTTTGTATGGGAATTTGTCGTATGTGACGCATTTTCAGCACATACAACAAAAGGCATACCCAATCATTAATATTATGTAACATACGACAAAATGCGCACGAAATATCTCAAAAACTAATGGAGATATAAAAAAATGGATTGCAGAAATCGAAAGAGCATGTCCAACTTAGTAAATCTGCATCAAAATCCCAAAATCGTGATTTTGCACATTCGTCATCCGTTTTCTGAGGCGACGATATGGCGAACATCCTATTGACTGATGGAGTGAAGATCTAAGGGCTCAAGAAATACTTGTCAAATATTTATCCCATTCTGATTGGTCCTGCTTAATATATGATCGGATAGCGGCTAACAATGACCTGTTCACGCGCTCAGCTGCATTGCTTTGCGGCGAATATAAAGCAGTGAACATTTGCCTAATTCCGAATTCTGTTTAAAATGCTTTAAAGTCATTTGACTTAAACTGCGAACCATTATCGCTTACTATCGTCTCAGGAACTCCATAACAATGAAAAATGTGATGTAGAAGAAAATCTTGTATAGCAGCGGAGGTAAATTTACGCAAAGGACAGAGCCAATGGAATTTGCTAAAATGATCAAGCACTATCAACAAACCAATATTGCCGCGTTTGCTTCTTGGATATGGGCCAAGGATATCAATGTAAAATTTTTGAAAGGGTCTCAAAGACACGCTTTGCAACCCCATTGGCGGAGTAAGCGTAACGTTTGGCGCTTTTGTTTCTTTGCAGGTATCGCACTGTCGAATATAGTCACGTACATCTTTCGCCAAACCTGGCCAAAACAAATTACGCTTAATTCGCTCAATGGTTTTTTGCATGCCGGCATGGGCAGTAATGACACTGTCATGGGCACGTTTAATAACGTCCTTCCTCAACCTTTCGGGGACCCATAATTTCCACGCGTTGTTGTCTTCGTCTATGCTACCTGCCAAATGCTGCGTGCGAATATAAACAAACTTATCAACGACTTTTAAATCGGGTAAATTGCACATAGTCTGGATCGAAGAAAACGGTGGAATCTACATCAATTTCAGGGCCGACTGCTTCTAAGCTCGATATCTCGGTATCATAGATTCGCGATAACGCATCCGGAACAGTATGATCTTTGCCTTTGCGGTGGGAGATGGTAAATTTATATGTTTGTAAGCGCAAAATCCACCTTGCTAACCTACCACTAACGTTTTTCTGTCGCATCAGCCATACGAGGCTAGAATGGTCAGTAATTACCTCCAACTCTTGAAGTTCGAGATTACATCGAAACTTCTCAATGGCTAAAATTACGGCTAAACATTCTCTTTCAGTGACACTATAGTTTCTTTCAGCTTTCGATAATTTCTTTGACATGAATGCTATAGGTTTTTCATCATTTTCATCGGATAATTGTACAAGCACCGCGCCAATACCATAATCGCTGGCATCGCAATGTAATTAAATTTTCTATTAAAATCGGCATTTTGTAAAACAGGTGCAGAAGTTAACAGTAACTTAAGCTTTTCCTGCGCAGCTTGAGCTTCGTCAGTCCAAAGAAACTTTCTTTTTGTGGACAAAACCTCTGTTATGGGACATGTGATTTCCGCGAAATTCTTAATAAATCTCCTGTACCATCCGCACACTCCTAAAAATCCACAGACTTGTTTAATATTCTTGGGCGGGGGCCAAGACACAATACAAGAAATCTTTTCTGGGTCAGTGGAAACTCCACCGCTTCCTATCACATAACCTAAGTAGTTGATTTTAGTTACACAGAATTGACTTTTGTTCAGGTTTAGTGTAAGATTCGCTTTTCGAAATTGTTCTGCTATGCGCACCAATACAGACAGATGCGAAGAAAAATCTTCAGATACTATGCACATGTCATCTAAGTAACCGAACACGCAATGTTGCAGATCTGGGGGGATTAAGGCATCCATGAGTCGGCACATAGTGGCCGGTGCGTTGCATAGCCCAAATGGCATGACAACAAATTGGTACAGTGGTCGCCCGGGAATCGTGAACGCTGTTAACGGACGCGACTCTGGCAACAACTCAATCTGCCAATAGGCATCCTTCAGATCTAATTTGGTAATGATGTTAGCCTTTGGCAGTCGAGAAAAGATGCCGTCGATGCTCTGAAGTGGATAAGCATCTTTTTTCGTCACTTCATTAACTTTGCGGGCATCCAAGCACAATCGAACCTTGCCGGGTTTTACCACTAATCTCATTGGCGAGCTCCATGCTGAATTAGATGGCTCAATTACGCCTAATTTCATCATCCTATCCACTTCGTCAAACATTAATTTTTCAACAGCCGGGCTAACAGGGTAGTATCTTTGTTTAATCGGTTTGGCACCGCCTACGTCAATATGATGTTGAATCAACCCAGTACGGCCTAAGCCTTGAATTTCAAAATTAGGAAAAAGCAATTTGACAGCTTCTAATTGCTGTTTTTGGCTATCTGTCAACGGAAAATCAATCGAAGAATCTCCCTGGGAATTTTCTAACGCCACTTCACTGATAATCCCTGGTGCCAATTCGAAAATGCGCCAGAAGTCAATACCCAAAATAAGTCTTTGAGTAATCGACGGTATGACGTATAATTTTATTTGTCTTTCCATATCTTGGTATCGCATATATACGTTAAGAAACACTTTAACGTGATGCGCACGGCCATCTGCTGTTTTTACATGAGAATTAATGCGGTGAAATTCTGATAAATTGGAGAAATCTTTTTGCGCAATATCGGACCCGATACAACTTACATTTGCGCCAGTATCTAATAAGCCTAGCTCGGTATAACTCAAAAATTTTACTTCCGCGAACCTTCTTAAGTCTGTGTTATTATTAAAAATGGATGAAACTAATATCTTCTTATTTTTACGTATTCTACCAAAAAAATCTCTCATACGCAATGTGTTCCTTTTCACTCGCTTGCCGTTTTCTTCGAAAATTCTTTTCCTAACTTCCATGTAGTTTTCCAGTCGTTCATGGTACGGTTTAAAGGAAAAATGAATATCCGTAGAATGACCAAAGCTAGCGTTTTGGCGGTTAATAATCGGTTTGTTGGTTCCTTCTTTTAATTCGGGGGCAGTCGGTTGTTGTTGAATGCACCCCGTTGGCAGTTTTCCGCTTTGCGCTTCGCACATTTTTCGCACTGCGGTTTGTACACATTCGGTGTCCCACATCCATAGCAGAACACGCGTCTGTCTGCCAGACAATCTTCCCATATGTGCCCTTCACTATCGCAGTTCCAGCACTTAAGCTTGCTGTGCGGCTTGTGGATAGCTGCAATATCTGCTTGAGTCCTATCAGATTCAACCCGGTCCATTTCTTCACTTTCAAGAGTAAATACTTGTCTACGGGCACCTATAGTAGCTGGGGGTTTAATTTGGCTAGATCTACCGGACTGTTCCTCTTTTAATAGATTCTCGCGCATTTGGCACAACTTCCTCAAATGCGCCACTGTTAGGACAGGTATGTATAACAATTCATGCCTGACTTCAGGTCTAAGATTACGGATAAGAATTTCAATTAACTCTTCCTCCGGAATGCTTCTACCTAGTCGGTCTACAAGTAAACTGACTGCATCGTAAAAACTCTGAAAAAATTCTCCTGGCTTTTGCTTACGCGCACGTATTTGTTCCCGGAAATCAAAATCGGAACGAAAGTCTTTGTATTGATAACGTAACGCTAGACAAAATTCACGGCAATCAATTGTTTCTACCTGTTTATGGTACCTCCAATACCAATCCAAGGCTTTTCCTTTTAACAGTGAGTGCAAAATTTTGCATAATAAATAAATAAATAAATAAACCGTCAGAAGTACCATCGAACTGCACATTCCATTTTTGTATAATATTAGAAATTTTTGTGGGATTAACCGCCGTACTTAATGAGCCACCCCTTGACAAATTATTGCGACTATTCTCATCGGGCGATCCGCTATTATTACGCGTATTCCGATCGATTGGATTGGAAGTTAAATTCAAGGAACGACACATTCGTTGAACGCTCTCTTCTACCATTTGTGAGATGCGGTCGTAATCAATACTGTTTGGACGATTAGCATTATTTCTTCTCCCACGATTTCGCGATCTGTTCGAGTTATCTCGAGCATTTCGGTTGGGAGCATTACCTGAGCTTTGACTCATGTCCGCAATCGGGACATTTAAGCTGGTGTTTAAAGATGGCGGTTCTTGTTGCTGTTCCACAGCCGAGGTCATATTTGGAGCTAAATTTCTTGCTAGGCTACGCGTCATGGCATTCGTGCAGACTAAACAATTGTTTATTTCTGCATTCGCCGCTGTAGACGTTTGAGGACTATGTAATAGTGACATGATCCTCTCTTAATACTTTTTCCTTATATATTTATTTATTTCATTTAATATTATATTGAAAACATTAGTGCATTAAGATGTAATCTTTACTTGCACAATGATACAAACAAATTGCAAGAAATAAAATAAAAAGTACAGATAATAATTAATATTACAATATAGATTAATGTGTACGTTGAATTACAAATCATATATTCTAAAATAAAACAAAGGTAAGCTTATAACCACTATTCTTGATCACGCTTGGAAGAAAAAAAGTTAGATATGAGTTTTTTGAAGTTGCCTATGTGCAACGCGTTCTTCAAGGACAGTGGAAGGGAGTTCCAGAGCCTTACCGCATTAATAAAAAACAGTCTTGAAGTGCATAAATAGTTAACTCTCGGAAGAATAAGACCTGACGAACGTGTACTCTTGGAGAACTTAAGTTTATTGTACAGATATTCCGGGCTCTTCGTGATAAATAATTTGAACATAAAAATGCAATTACGCGCGTTCAGAAAATTTTGTAAATCACAGCCAAGTATAGAATTACGCATAGATGAGAGATGATCGTATTTCTTTAAACCAAATACATACCTTGTGGCAGAGTTAATGGCGATATTAAATTTTTGGAGTGAATGAGAGTCTAATTTGCCGTAGACGATTTCAAAGTACGTGATATAAGGAACAATTAAACTTGTAATTAACTTTTTCTTAGTGGATACCGGTACATAAGGTGAAGTTACTCTAAGACATCGTAGGTTAAAAAATATTTTACTCACAACTTCATTAACATGATCATCACACGCAAGTCTAGAGTTAATAACGAAACCCAAATTCCTGGCTTTGTCAACTAATTTAAGCTGGTTGGCACCAATAAATAAGTTGGGAATATCCGATGCCAAAAATTTATCTTTAGCGACAGGTATTACACAAGATTTTTGAGCATTGAGGCAAAGTAAATTCTCCCTAGACCATGCAAATATTGAGCTTAAGTCCTCGTTAAGTTGTAGACAAATATCCTGAATCGATCCAATTTTATTAGAAACATACAGCTGCACATCATCGGCATAGGCGTGTAAGCGCGCATGAGTGCAGGTGCTGAAAATGTCATTTATGAAAATGCTAAACAAAAGGGGGCCCAATATGGATCCCTGAGGGACACCAGAGTATATATGCACGAGGTTAGAACAATTATTGCCGATTTTCACCTTTTGAAACCTGTCGCTCAAATAGCTCTCTATGAGTTTTACTGCAGTTTTGCTGAAGCTGAAATACTTAGCTAGTTTTTCACACAATAAATTGTGGTTTACAGAATCAAAAGCCTTAGAAAAATCAAGCAGACAAAGTAGTGTTAAATGACCTTGATCGAATGGCTGACGTATATCGTCTAAGACTTTAACAACAGCAGTAGAACAGGAGTGACCAGCTCTGAAACCACTCTGCAGAGGGTTTAGGAGTTTATTTTTATGAATGAAGTCGGATATTTGCTGCGCTAAAAGCATCTCAAAAACCTTAGAAAGTCCTGTTAATATACGTATGGGTCTGAATTCACAAATCAGAGAGGCACCAGGTTTTTTGGCTATTGGTGTGACATTTGCTACTTTCCACTTGGATGGAAAGCACGAAGTGGTTAAACAGTGATTGAGTATGTGTGTAAAGCAAGCGAGAATGTAAGGCAAAATTAATTTGACAAACTTCATCGGAAGCTCATCATTCCCCACAGCATTAGATTTAATACTGCATACACATCTGGCCACTTCCTCCTCGCAAACGGAACTAAATTGAAATCTCGAGAGGGTGTGTTGGTCAGAAGACGAAGAAGTGGTATTTGTTACAGACGTGTAAGCAGTCAAGCAACTACTTGAAGCAAAAAAATTATTGAGTTCATTGGGATCAAGTGAGCAGGGTATTTCTGAGCTTGACCGCACGCCCAACCTTTTCAAATTTCCCCAGAGCTGTTTAGGAGGCAACGATACGTTAAGCTTTGCGCAGAAGAAGTTCTTCTGAGCTAGCCGTACAGAAATAGTAGCCGAATTCCGGGCACGTTTGTAGAGGTTCCAATTTTCCTCTGTTGGCCTCCTTTTCCAGGTGTTGTAGGAAATATTACGCTTTTTAATCGCTAATTTAACTTCTTTGTTAAACCATGGACAGGAGCGTGACTTAGAGATACACTGGCGAATAGGTACATGCTTATTAAAGAAATATAAGATATTTTGTACAAAGAAGTCTAGTTTTTCGTCAGCAGTTACTAGCTGCCAACAAAAATTCCAATGGAACCGGTTTAAATCCGAAAACAACGCATCAAATTTAATGGCCTTATAGTCACGGTAATAGAACTTCGTCTCTTCTTCAGCTTTGTTATTTAACTTAAAGTCGAACGAACAAAAAATCAAATCGTGGTCAGAGATGAAAGACATTTGGTCAAACAAACGCACAGAAGTAGACCTTGGAACTATGAAAATGTCAAGAAGACTAGGACGAACATTGAATGAAAATCTTGTAGGCATACAAGTATTGACAACAGACATACCAACTGATGCGACAGAGTCTAAAAAATTCTTGGATAAAGAGTCAGGTGAGAGTAGATTAATGTTAAAATCGCCACATATAATATAGTGGTCATAGTCAAGAAGACGAGGAGTAAGGTCATCGAAAAAAGGCTGCAGTGAAATGTTCTTGCTAGGATTGTACACACAAGACACCAACACTTTAGTGCTCGCATCTGAAATCACGGCAGTCATAAACTCAATCTCAGACGTAGAAGAACTTATAATATTAACATTTAGATTGTCTCTACAATACACAGCCACTCCACCACCTCTTCTACCCAAACGGTCATTGCGAAACAAATTATAGTTTGGGATTGAGTAGCAATAATCCGGAATATCCGCACTGAACCAAGTCTCTGACACACAAACAACGTCAACAAACGAATCTTCAAATATACTTCTAATGCTATCCAGTTTGTCACTATTCAAGCTGCGAGCGAAATGAACTACATTAAAGCCACCAGCACGCTTACAGAGCACATTTACCAGGACTGTTTGGTTGAAATTAACATTATGTGACGGACTGTTCTCCAATATATTGCGGAGTAATATTAACAGAAAATGGTTATAAACAAACTTAAATATATGAGGAAGACAAAAGATAATACACAAAATAAATGTTAAATAGTATGCTAATATTATATGTGACCTTAATTGATGAGAAAACAACGAAAACAACATTTAAACAGCCAAATGAGAACAGAAAAAATATTAGGGCTATTGTAGCTACGAGATTTTTTTTTAAAAGCTTACTCTCTTGTTTGACTCCAATGATCTTTATCCGGACGAAACTTAGCATAAGCCGAGAGGATTTCGTATCTCCGTTGGAATCAAGGTCCTAACAATTCTATGAGCTAATAAAAAAAATCCGAGGAGATTTGAAGAGACAACTTCGCGCAGAAATTTTTTGAAATTCCGGTAAAGTCTATAACAAGAGGCCATCGGTCGAAAATATTTAGTCAGAGCAAAATACTCGAATTTCCGTATAACATTGTAATAGTATTAACGGAATAAAGTCAATTCAACTACGCGATTTATCTTTCTTTTGAAAGCAAATGAGCTAAATGGGGCCAGAATTTTCACAATTGAAATAGTAGTTGTAACAACCTTTCCAAAACATCGATTAAAATTTTTAGGTACGGTTTTCGCATGCTTTTTCGAAAATTCCATATGCCTCAAAATTCAACTTCCATTTTGGAAAAATTTTCTCAAAACTATTTGGCAAATAGACAATTAGGGAGCACTAAACCGAAAATTGTAGCTGAAACAAAAGCTAATTTGACAGCCGGGTGGTCGATAGTTGATTACCATCAATTACCCGCAATTCCAACCGGCAAAAGAACAAAAAAGTATTATTCCTAATTTACAATAATCAGTCTGAACTGCTAACTACCAATTGTTACCTGCACTTGTTAACGGTGTTGTTTAACAAAAAGGTATGCTTGCGTGGGCCCCACGTTGGGCGCCAAAAATTATGTAATGCTAATGTGCCGGGGATATACAGTGACCTGTATATGGTTAA